TTACAGGTGATCATGTATTGTGTTATATTATATTTCTGGAAAATTTAAGGGGTAGTTATATAATAATTTTGGACGATTTCAGGTGGTCAGATACTTATGACCGCTACTGTATCAGTAATCCGGTTTTGATTTAAAATCATTCAAAAAAATAATTATTTTTCTATAGAATTGCAGTTTTAGAACTGGAAGTTCTAATTTCTATAGGATTGCAATCCTATAATTTAAAGGATTTTGAATTATATTAAACTTCATAAAACTGTTTAAAATCTAATTCTATATGACTTTTTAATATTTTTAATCTAAATGATTAGTTTAATAAAATGATGTTGACTTTAAAAAATAAAATAAGTATTTGAGTTTTTATTATATTATATTTTAGTTTAAAATAAAATTTTAAGGTTGATGTAAAGAAGAGATAAAAGTGAAAAATATTTAATACTAATTAGAATATTCAATAAACTTTCCTTTTAAATAAATTACATTTTCAATTTAAAATAGGTGGATTTTATTTTTAACTGATTTATTAAAGAAACAAAAGCTTTTATTTATAAATAAGAAATTTTAATCAGATCATTTTCATTTATTCTTAAGATTGCAGTAATCTTTTTTATGGTGTTATTCTTTAAGAGCAATTAAGTATATAACAAAAAGTTTTGAATTTAGAAGGCATTTTTAAAAGAGTTTTTTTTTGATATAAAAAATGAGATATATATGTATATATATTTCTTTTTTTATCAGATCTTCCATTTTTTTTTATGATTTGATAGGAAAGATATTAAGAATTTTTGATTTTTTTTAATTTGATTAATTAAAAAAAAAGTGATAAATGATAATTTAAAAGAGAAATTGGCATGATGTATTTTTTTTTTACTTAAAAGATCAAAACTATAAAAACATTTATTATTTCTTAAAGAGAAATAAACAAAGTAGACTTTCAGAAATATAGATAAATAGATAGATAGAAAATGTATTTTAAATTTATTTATTACAGGATTTTGATTTGAAAAAATATAAAGTTAGAAAAATTAGATAAAAATTTGGTTAAGTGAACTGAGTTGGATTTATTAGAAATTCAGATTGGATTAGAAATATATGTTGGTTAATTTAATTAAAAAATAAAAAAAAAAATTGAAAAAAAAAATTGATTAATTTTATTAATTTTATAAGTTACACAAACAGATCAAAAAAAAATTTGGGAAAAGATAAACTGGATTTTATTTTTTTTTTTGATAATTTTGAAAATCAAGAGATAGGATATATAAATGAGCTTTGCGTAGAGAGGGTGGGAGGAATTAATCTATAATTATTATAAATTATTATTACTGTAGAACTATTATTGAATACTATTACTGTAGAACCATGAAAGTGGAAGATAAAATCGCAATGATAAATTTCCGGATTTTTCTGAATACTATTTAAAAAAATTAGTGATCATTACCAAAAGAACAATGATCGTAAGACAAAAATATTTACAGATTAGGAATAAAATTTGGTACCGCCCATATGATTCGCAATAACGTGAAATTCGGAATACAAAAAGTAATATAAAATTTTTAGACCTATTATCCTACGGACCAATCACGATCATCTTCAATATCACGTGATAAATCACGTGATTTTCTCCGCTCCATAATTAGATAGCCTTTTCAATTTCAGGCTTAACTATTTCAAAAATAATATGGGAATAATAGACCTAAAAAAAAATTTAAAAAACTGGAATTTTTTGAAATGCTCTTTCTGCTACAATGTTATTTTTTAACGTCTAAAATTCGATCTAGACCGAAATAAGTTGTAGTTCGACGCATGGATGATCATTTAATAATTCCTCAGATCTTAAAACTAGTCTTCAAGGTACCCTCAAACTGGACCGAGACCGCCAATCTAATTTATTCCGATGGATTAAAACCACTAGTGCGGTGAATTTTTTTTTTTTAAAAAAGATTGGATTTTTGGATATAAATAAATCTTGTAATGGAATCTTTACTGCGTCTTCAATTTGAAATTCCTATCATTACTATCAGTGGATGATTGATTTCCTTATTAAATATCTGAATCTGAATTTTATTTAAAAGATTTTAATAATTACAAAATTTTTTATAATTTATTCTAATCGTCTTTAATATAAATTTCATTTTTTGTTTTCATGATTTCTAATAGATATGTCATATGGTCTGTTGCAAAGGATGAAAGATAATGTTAGAGAGAAAATATTTAAACAAAATATAATGAGATTCATAAGTCATTAAAATCAACGATATAGGAAAAAAAATATCTTACTCTATGTTCAAAATTGTGATCTCGAATGAAATTGTGCGCTAATCCATGACAAAACATCATGTACCAATATGACATTGCTTCAATTTCAGAGCATTCTGCTTTGTAAAATTTGAAATTGAAAAATAATAAACTATTCTGATTGAACACGATTGAACTTGTATTGTCATCAAAGAAAACATTAATGGACTTGGGTACGAGTTTAAAAGCTTTGACAAGGTCTTTTAACATCTTGACAAAATGACTTAATGAAGTGTGACATGATGACAAGATATTTGAATGATCTATACCTTTAGAAACATAAAATTCTATTCCATCTAAAAATCTCACAAACTGTAACAAATGAGCTGAATAATAATAACTAAATCAATTAAACTAGTTACGTAACTTTATTCATAATTATATATAATAAAAAAATTACCAAACCTGGAATGACTTCGCAATAATTTGATTGGCTTTCACTAACTAAGTTTGGATGAAAGCTTTTAAACGAAATTGGAAAAGCATCCTGAATAATATCAGGTTTCGATATATGACTGATTCCTTCATCAAGAAAATTCAACCCAAAATATTTTTCATACGCATCAATTGATCCAGTACCTTGATAAAATATTAGGTAATTTCCTTCCATTAATTTGTTTTTAACCAATAATTGATCTCCATTTTCTTGTACCAGGCATTGACGAATGTAATCAGGGTCACAGTCCAAAAACATTTTCTGTAATATAGAAACCAATTTTTCTATTTTTGGATCCAAAGAAGTAGTTTTTATTGTAGGTGAGTAAAGATCATCTTCATATTCTTGGTTAATATTTTTATTAAAGTCTGGTGGTAAAGTTTGTTGTTTTGAGTTGGCCTTATAAGGTGCTTCTAATATATTATGAATGTAAATGATATCCCTCAATATATGTGATTTGTAGATATTTTTAACTATATGTCGTGAAATATCAGAATAATCTGGTGTCGAAGTCACATAAAGAGTGAATATGTCCATGTTTTCTCTTTTCTTTCTTTCAATATATGCAGTTTCATATTTTGTTTTTGGTTTACTTTTGACTTTCAATAAATATTCTATTTCTATTTGTTCAATCTCTTTTACTTGAAGCTTTTTAAACCATTCTTCATCTTTTTTAATCATGTATTTAGGATAATCTTTATAGAACAAATGAGCTCTTTCCTTCAGCTTTTCTTGTAAACCATGAGAGCTTGATGTTTCTCGAATAGCTCCTGATATGTTCACTTTTTCTTTAATAGATTCACTTAATGATTTACATCCCAAATCCTAAATTAAAAAAAAGTAATTAATTATTTTGTCAAAATATAGTTCAAACAGCATCAATCTGATTACATACTCGATACCAAAGTTCAATGTCATCATCTTTTGGAGCTGTCAATAGGTGACAAACTTCCTGATATATCATGCTATCATTTATATAAATATCTTCAGCTATAGCCAAGTGAGAATCAATAGAATCAGAATTCTGTTTAAAACCTAATAAAATAGGTTTCTCCCTCATCTCTGCAATTAACTTTGAATTTCTAGCTATAGTATTATAATCATTAAAAAGTTTCCGTAAAATAATCTCATATATTTCTGCATTACATCCGATTGAATCCCAAATTTCTATAGATTTTTTCACTAATAAATCAGCGATTGTTATTGAAGATGGTTCGTTTTCGACGCCACATTTTTGCAAAAATTCATTGGCTTTCCACCCATAATTTATAAATGTAAAGAATTCACCTAAACTATAAATTCATTGATCATAATTATTTTAGAATCTGTTTAAAACAAGACAATGGATTTTATAAATATAAAGAATAAATTCGTACATTTCTTCCATTCTACCCATTTTTTCTTGACCCTTAAAAAAGCAACCATGTGGACTTTCATAGATAATATCAGGTTGATCTTTATTGCGAGTTGGAATGAACTTAGACTCGCTTAGAGTGATCCACTCCGATGGGATAAATTCATCCCGCTGTGTTGCTAAATATTCAAAAATCTCCCTTGCTTTAGCTTCAGTCTGTGGCGTATTATTAATTAGCTTTTTAAAAAGTTCTTCATGATTAGGTTGTTGATGTAAACCAAGTTTTCCAGCTATAGATTGGTATTCTTGATGTATAACATTAAATCCCATTACTGCGCAATCAGGTTTGACAAAACATTCCGATGGCTTGGCATAACTACTGTGCTCGGAACAAGGTAAGAACGCAATATTTATTGCGTCTGCTTTATAATCAATAGAATATTTATCATCAAAATTATCAATGAAGAATTTTAAAGCCTTTTTACAATCTTCTCTTGGCGATGCGGAAAGTTCGAGAATCTTTTCAAGGCTGGGATGTTCTTGTAATCCCACCCTGATTAAGAATTTAGCTGGAAATATTTTAAATTTATAAGTTATTCGTTAAAAGAAATATTTATGACTATATATCTACCTTCTTTAGTATTAGGATCCCATTTTTCTTTCCATTCAATAGTAGGTAAACAAAATTTACGATATAAATCCAATGGTATATATAAATCTCTTGCAGTATAGAGTTGGACTTTTGGTTTTATATCTTCAATTTTATTATTCTGCAAATCTATTTGCTTATTTTTAGGCCAGATTTTAGCGTGCATTAATCTTTTCCATTCATCATCTTGGAGATTATCTGCCAATTCTGCAAGATATTTTACAATTCGCATGTGATCATAATTCTCTTGACAAGAACAATTGAGAATATGCTGTATTTCAACAACCTATTGATTAGATGGATTATAAATTCGGTTTTAATTAATTAATTCAGTCATTAGAGCTTTAATCATTTTTACAAAATATTATATCAAAAGGTTTTCATACTTCTCTGATACCAAAGAACTTCATCAGATTTTGCAAATCTAAGCGATTTTTGAAATTAATTCTTGGTAGGTCTGTGAATAAATCATCATCTTGGATATACGTTTCGCCAGGCTTTTTCATACTATGCGTTGTCGAAATGCATTTCTTATGAACAAATAACCCGTGAATTTTGTCTTTGTCAATTTGAGTAATATCTTTTAAACTCTTTTCTAAAATTATATGAACTTTTTCAGCAAAAGTAGGATTAACTTCTAAATCAGGGTGATCGATAATAAAGCTTGCCCAATCTACCAAAGATAACTCAACCCATTGAAAATATTTTTTCAGACAATCAATCTCTTTCGGATTTTTGTCCTCAAATTTTTTGGAAATATTATATGGTAAAACGCAATCAGGAATTTCTGCGTCAGGTGGAATTAAACCTGAATTTAAAACATAACAAATCGTGCTCAATGTTTGATATTCGCCTTTAATGCAAACAGCAGCTGATTGCTTAAATTGTGTAAGTGCATTCGAATCAACTTTGTTTCTCTTTGACGTATAAGACATCAGCCATCTCAAAAGTGCAGTCATTTCAATTTCAGATAGTGCTCAAATTTTTAATTCAATTAAAACATCTTGAAAAGATAGCTCCTTCATATATTTATTCTTTGCCTTTCTGAAAAAAGAATCGCATTGTTCAAATACAATTTTTGGAACAACTGGAATTTTTTTTATGAATCCTTCCATTTCTGAATTAGGCATCCGGACTTCAGTCATTTGAAGGACACTACGTGTCAATAGAAACAACGGTTTTTGTTCCGTATAACCAAAAAATTGTGATTCGATGATTTCGCTGACAAGTGCATCTGGTGTACTTGGTTCAAACGTGAAATATGTTAAAGTATACGCAAAACGTTTTTCTAGCTGTTCATGAATATGTTTTATGTTTTCGTCGTTAACTTCCTCATAGCGTTTTTTTATTTGATTCATTTCATCCTCATACAAAATTCTACATAACACTCCTGCTAAACGTAGTATCTCACTATTATAGACAGCCAAAGTTTTATCTACTAAATCAATTGACTCATGATCAACAGTAGAAATTACACGAGCTGCAAAATGTGAACAATATCCTGTCGTTTGCTGGGTTGGAAAACCAATATAAATTCTTCCTGGTTTCGGATATGGAAATAACTTTTTAAATATTGGAGGAATAATAACTTCAGATCCAGTGAAAATCATCTGTATTGCCTTTACACTTGGTAAGTTCTTTTTGGTAATTCGGCGCATTTCTTTCGAAAATTTCTCGTCAACTAAAACATCTAAATTTCCACTGAAAATTTTAAAAAATATAGATGAATCTTCTGGTTTATGATCAGTAATTAATGATCCATTGGACCCATTTTTCAGAACTAAGGCGTCTAGTTTAATTTCTTCGACATTTATTGAGGTTAGTTGAAACATCTTTTTCTGAGAAAATGTTTCAGCGCCCGATGTGATACTTATCAATTTTCTTGTTTCAAATTCCTTTGACAAATGGATTACCATTATATCATTGAAATATACAGTTATTTCTTTAAGCTTTTTTGTAAACTCCTATTTATATAATATAAAAATAAATATAATTATGTATATTAATAATATTAAGAAACCTAGTAGGGTAACTTACTAGTAAGCTTGCTAAAAACTGTGTAAATTCTTCAACACTCGGAAACTAAATTGAAAAAAGATAGGTGTAGATTTTAACGCAGAAGTACTTATAATTAATTATGCCATATATTTAAAATTATTAAAGAACAAATCGATATTATAAAATATTATTTTACTTTCGAATTGCAGTAAAAAAAATTGCATATAAGAATAATAATAATAAATAAATATATCTATGATAAGTATATAATGTTCATGCCATGATTTTACTAAAAAAATTAGATCACGTGATCTTAATGGAATCATGACTACCTCAGTAAGCTCTCTCAAATCCATTGCGAATATTGTCCAAACTCTATTATCAATTTCATCAATTTCACCTTGTCTTGTAAATAATTGTTCATCACGCCAATAGAAAGCCATTCCTTGTCCATCCGAAATTATGCTATAATAATGAAATATTAATATTATTTGATTTGGATGGGTTTAATTAATTTGCAAGACTCTTACAATGGCTCTTCACAAACTGAAAACACTGAATAAAAACCAACCCCGAAAGCTCCTATCTATAGAAAAGAAGAAAACAAATTAATTACGAATAAGATTAACGAATAATTTTAAATAACCGTTTTAAAATGCAATACTTTTTGTTCATCAAAATTTCCTACGGCAATTTGCCTGATTCTGTCCCAATCTTGGAGTTTAAAGGTAATTCCATTATTTCTGAATACAATCCTTTTAGTTTTATCTTTTAATGTATTTCTATCTGTTTTCGGATTTGTAGTTTCAAATTTAATCTCAACCTTTGACGATTGAGCATCCTCTTCAAAAGAAATAATAAAGATTAGATAAAATTTATGTATTGCAAGAAATAATTGATTAAATATTTACCAGAATTTTGTATTAATTGACGAAATACCGTAAATTTTGTGGGATAACTGCAAAATCAAAGGACGAAAAAATTTTAGTAGTCAGAAGTTAGAAAGGAAAATATTTTATTTAAACTTACCGTGCCAGAATTTTGTCGATCAAGTGTCTTTGATTGACTACAACTGGTTTGTCAACTGGCTTGGAAAGAACTTTTTTTCTAAAAACGTCTATAAACATTAGAAAGAATAGAAGTTAAAAAAAATATATTCTCCAAATGTGAAACTTACAGAAAAAAAATTCTTTTTAGGTCGATGTGACACAGCAATAAAATTAATGCATAATTCATTGTCATTATTTTTATTTCACTTTGAAATGAATTTTAAAGATAAAGTTTCTGATACCATAAAGGTATTGGTTCACATACCACAGCGAGGAGAAGTTACCATCAAGTTAAAACTTAAAGATAAATTACCGAAAATTCGTCAAATCCTCGAAGATAATAATGAAATTAAAATGGATCATACATTATTATTTTCATTTAATGATGGTAGAATATCACAAAAAGAAGAAAGTGACTACACTTTACAGGAAATTATTGAAGAATCAATTTCTAATCCGATAAGTTCAATATTTAAATCAAAAAATTATAAATTAAAATTACTTAATAGTATAGAAATCAATTGGAGAGGTTTGAATGAAAGGTTTAAATTAGAATATGGATGCAAAATGACATCTCATGGAATCGAGAGAGCAAGCGAAAGAGCATTTATAATGACCAATTGTGAATATCCCAAGATTACTTCATTGCTTTATAGAGAAAAGGTTGAATATAAGTCACGTGAAGCATGGATAGCTAATAAAAATTTATTTTTTAAAATAGACGCAAATATTGAAAGTTTTGCGAAATTAGGATTGTCGCTTGAGAAATCGAAAAGCAAACGTAGTGAAGTTGAAACCAATTCATCATATCAAGTCACTAATCACCCTTAAACATCTTTGGAATTTGCAAAATATTTAAAACCGAATGAAAAATTTATTGAAGAAGTGAAAAAAGCTAAAAATTCTAGAGAATTTAAAAAAATTACAGTAACATATGGTCAATTCATTCCAACAAAGATTATATTTGGTGGAAGTATTTATGAATATGATCAAGCAACTTCAAAAGCACAATCTATAAGTACATCTCATTTAACCGAGTTGAGTCTTAAGCCATTGAAAGCTTCAAAAAATATGGGGAATACTGTTTCGAGTATTTTACAAGTAAGATCATCTGGATATGACCGTATTGGAGGAAGTGCTGAAAGTGATGAAAAAATTTGGATCTAATCCTTGAAAAACGAAGATAATTGGGCGTGTATAGAATATCAAAGTCCTATTAGCATTTTTCAACTTTTAATACAATCGCTAACAGTTCGACAAAATGATTTAGTTCAATCGCTATTGCAATATCAAGCGACTCCTCTGACAACTATAACACCACCAGGATTGAAAGTGCAAGAAAATAAAGATTTGGGTAAAAAAATATTATTAGCCAATGGAAAAAGAATTCTTTATTCAAATACTGAACAATGCGAATATCAATTAATAGATAATGAAAAACCAAAACCATTCGCATTTACAAAGTTACCAACAGAAATTGTAGAAAGGATTCAAGCTGAAGAATGTGATAGTTTTGCGACAGTTATCGACACAGGAGTGAAAAATGATGATTTCTTTAACTGTCAAATCGTTTATGGTCTAAATCAACCGCCAAAATATATCATTCATTATTTTCAAAAGGAACGTAAAGCACGTGATTGTAAATTAGAGATCAAATATATTGTTGTTGGATATCATACAGATTTTAATTCTATCCTATTAGATGATTTAGATGTTCAATTAGAAGTTTTAAAGAAGGGTTAGGGTTTACTCAGTTGGAGTACGTTGAAAAACAAAGAAGTTTTTTAAGAAAAACAAAGATGTAAGCTATTT